TGAATTTTAAAAAGTACTCATTTTCATATCAGGTGTAAAGTAAAGATTAATTTTTCTGACTTTCGGATTCAAATTCATCTGATTCGGTATGTCATTGACATTTGTGTAGATACTTCGTTCAAATCATTTTGTAAATTGTCATATTTAATGAATTCAGAAGCAATGATTCTATCATAAACTTTGAAATTTCTAAATTGTTCCATATGAATAGTTTTCTTTCTGTTAACCGCAAATAATCGATTACTGTTATTTGTTATAAATTTATCAGGTTTTAGTTAGAAAAATCTATACGGTTTGTTGAACAATTTGTTATGACTTATTGTTATAAGTATTTCGAATATTTTAAGCAGAGATGGATGATGGCTAGTAGTTAAATCCAGGACGCGCGTCTCTTCCTGTTTGGTATTCGTCATCTGCGTGTACCTACATTCTATAGCTGGTGTTCATTCCGGGACTCAACCAATACAAATGAATTATTGTGAACATTGTTGTTATATCTATCAGTTTTATATGAAGCTATGTTTTCTATTGTCACTTAATTATATCAGTACACATTTTAGAATTAATACACAATTGCTTTTTCGTCAACCCTTTCGCCTATTTTTATTATCAAATGATAATCTTTTATTGTGGCGTTTTGGTCCGTTAATCAATACGTTTTTGGTTGTGAAGATTAACCTATTCTTTTTCGTTAAATGCACATTTTAATCAAATTATATACATAATATGACCTTTATGTATTCTTCATCACATCAAATCAAATGACCTGTATGCATTTGGTTACATTTACAATTGCGTCGTTCGTGTAAGTGTGTAGAACTTATTAAACTATTTAGAAAATACCGTGCATAACTAGTTTACACATACATATATATGCTTGATGTATTCTCGTTACGCTCTCTTCACTAACCTAATCTCTTTGTTCTCCTAATTAATATGTATGTAGTTGTTGCATGATCTCATATGATATATAATAAATTGATTGAAGTTAGCTTACATTAGTGTAGGCATACAAGATCAGTGTTTATTAATAACTATAGTCGTTATAACACTAACAATTATTATTCTTCAGGAAAAATATTTTTCCAATCTAATGTACATAGTTTAAATATACTGTATGACAGTAATCGGATCATTTGTTTTTGTGGACAATAGAAGATTGAAATAATTTATGTATTGATTTAATCTCGTCAGTATTTGTGTATGTGAAAAGTGTTAAATAAATTTGTAAATGTAATGTTCGAGTGTAACCTTTTTTTGCGTACTGTTGCAAACTGAGTTATGTCGAGAAACCAGATGACCTTTTGGGTTGTAACGTTCATTGAACGAGTAATCTGAGTCAAATGTACGTTATTATTGGATTATTATCGACAGTGAATTAATCTGAAACTCTTTCAACGTATCCTTGTACATATAAGTACTGTTTATCTGGTGTTCCTTTTTTCTTTCTTTGCCCTCACTAAAGACAAAGTTTGATAAAGGGATTTTTGATGAATTTTCGTTTTTTTTTTCATTCAGTAAAATGAATGAAATGTTCCCACTTTACATTTCTCTATTTTTGCGTTGTTCTTTTTTTTCTCGGTTGTTGCATTACTTAATTCATTGTTGTCTACATTTTATATTTCCAACTATCCTTGTAATAAGTGTAATTCAGTGGTATTTGGCAAATTATCTTGCACTTACTTACTGAAATATTTATTTCTTTTATTCCAATCACTGTTGAGATAGTTGAAGTTAACATGATTTTCATATTATCATAAGCTGAGGAGGAAAGGAAAAATCATTTCAATGTACATCAAATTATATCATGGATTGGTGATAGATTCAAATGTAGGCTAAAAAATTATTCACTAAATCTTTATGAAATGCACAAGGTTTATCCCGTCTGTTTGACTTTATTAGGGATCATTGAATTCGATCATAATCTCGCTATTAATATGTTGTTTTTTACAGCTTGTTTTATTTTGTATGGTATATGTATATATAAGCATAAACATTGAAGTGTTCGGTTTTTCTGTTTCTTTGTCTCTTTAATTATTCACAATGGATATGTCATTTTGGTCGAAAATCATATTCTCTACATTTAGTTTCTTATTATCATTCGTTTCGACTATTATAACTGGTTAATTTTTATTCATACTTTGCTCATTTGTTGTCTATGGTCAACTACTTAATTTACTGTTTAGTTAAATGTATGTTTGTAATATAATAATTATTCATTTATAATTTGTTTGTTTCATTGTTTTTATTTTTATGTAAAGAGGGATTATGAGTTTATCAAATAATCAATTATTATTATTTGATGAATCAAAGAATTTTTCAATTATATAAAATCAAATGGATTTACAATTACTCTATCTCACGTCATTCATCTCTCTATCTCTGGAACGTTCTGCAATCCATATCGAATTATCATCAAAATGGATAGAATCAGTTATTTATTTATATTTTCAACATGTGTGTTAATCACAATCCGATTTTTTATTCCCTTGTTTAGACATATCTGTACAAAAAACACCAGTGGATATTATTGTTGTCATAATATACATGTACATATATACATTTGTTTGTCAATAAATTGACTGTAGTAAAAAAAAATCGTTTTCTATTTTTTCACTTTGTTTGTATTTATATATTGTTGATTTGGCCATTTTTCTGTTTGCTTACATTACACTATTTTATGTGTGTATATGTTTGTAATTTAGTTTCCATGTTCGCATGTATGTACACGGATTGCTTCAATCAAGTTTAAATGTCATTTTGTCATAATCAATATTATGGTATATATCTGTTTTAATATGTGAACTATTGTAAATTACACTTATATGGTGTTTAAGACTATAAAAACATCATAGTTTTACAATTTAACATGACATTTTCTCACTGTATAACTTTATTCGCTTGATATAAGCGAGATGATTTCGTCAACATAACGTGGTGCAGTTGGATCAACTTCTTGTCAAGAGTGGAACGACATCAAGTGTATTTTAGGGTGTCTGAATATATCAATAATGTAGAGGCACATATAGTGATGTTTTACCTAATAGTTAGTCAAAATGATCGTTATTTATTTTTAGTGTACTCTTTGAATCACTTCACCCTGTATATTGAAACTGCGTGAATATATATATGAAACACGAGATCATTTCTATATTTCTCATAACATAGGTATATCAAAATTGTTTTTCTCAATCTTAGTGTAGAAAGCATAATATTTGTGTTTTATTTATACGAAATGATTCAATTCACAACTTGATGACTAACCATGTATAAAGTATTTTGTTTTATGCTTTAAGCGGTTATTTTGCCCGTTAATAACTTCAGCTTGTCTGTTTAAATCAAAGTAATTGATGTAGTGTACCTGGCATATGTATTGAAAACAAAGATTTATGGTTTCATAGAAAACGAATGAAAAAAACAATTCTTAGAGATATGTTGCAATCTAGTTTGTTTTTATGTTTGGCTTAGGGAAGTTGCGGTTCATATCTTTATATAAATATCAATCGGTAAACTTATTCATGACATTAAAAGTGAGTGTAGTAAGTTCAGAACAATGTTCGACCCTATAAGTTCATTTCATTCATTAAATTTTGTTTCTTGTATTCTTTTCTAATTTACAATTGAGATGTTCTAACCGAAAGAAAATTTAATCTCACCAATTTTCATTTGAATCACATATTTCATGATGGAATTAATACTGTTTACGGAATAAATATCAATATTAGTACTTAAATTTAGTTATGAAACTGCTGAGTAGTTTAAAGATAAATTGATAATGGTCTCATCGAAATCAGTACGTTTACTACCGTTTGCATTCAAAATTGTTTATACACTATCGGTTTGGGTTATTTACCAACAGACTGAGGCAGTCCTTTTCTCATTACCTTTTGTTGTAGTTAAAGTGTTGATTCTGTTTTATCCACTAGTATTGTGAATCTAATTCATGGTTATATATTAACAATCGATAGTTAGCTATCTGTTCTAGGTTGAATGATCTGATACTTTTATTATCGTTGTTGAAATCACTGAAATGTGAGTAAATAGTTATTTGATTTATTTCACTGCTACGGTGGCATTTTAAATTCTGGTTTCATTTTCTTCAATCACATTCTTTTTTTTCAAAATTTGTTATCCTCTCTTTCCCTCTAGTTCTATTGACTTGCGCTCATATATATATATATATATATATATACTCTTAACAGTACCAAAGGCAATTAACTTAGTAATTTCCTTTTCTTCTCTCTCCTTGGTGAGTTTTATCTTTTCTTCTCTCAGTTCTTTATTAAAGTAAAAGAAAAAGTAATTAGTCTGTGTCATATCCATTTTCAAATATAATGTGCTTTAACGAAACTTGCTAACTAACTGACTACCTATTGAATTCTCTGTTTAACATATTTACTAACTATGAATGAGTTTGTTCTTTTCTCTTTTGTTTGTTTGTTCTCTTCACCGATATCTTGTTGTCTATTTGTTGTTATTTTTATTAATGTTTATCTTCTGCTTCTAATCAATTGTGGATATAAAAGAATGATGGTTATTTCTGCATGAAATATTGCTTTCTCTTGGTACACATATATATAATTATAAATTTAAAACCTTATCTATTCTTTTCATTAATGAATATCCATTCGAGAAATTTTTAAATTTGTGTCAGTTTCTAAAGGTTTATTGATTTACAGGAAAACTTAAGTTGAAAATTTCCAATGCTTATAATTAACTTTACTTATGAATGGCTTCTTCCTGTCTTGTGGATTCATTCTTTGTGAAGGAAGGATCGTTATTTAGTGATATTGACCTGTCTTCTGTTCATTGTTATATCGTCTTAAATAATTGTTTGATTGCTGTCAGAATTTCGGTGCCTAGTTTATTTATTCACTCTTATTCTATCCATAACTCGAAGTTTATTATTTGTTCCGTCTTTGCATCCACTTAGTATCACAGCCCACACACAAATCAAGTGACTTGTTTGGCTCATATGTATTCGGTGTCTATTTGTATCAATATTTATGTGTTCAAATAAATAAGGTATAAAAATCTGTGTCTATCAATCGTCTATAACAAATAATCTAATTGTTGTAACGGTGGAATATTATACGACAAATAGTTTGGACGGATTCAGTCTGAACAAATAATCAATAGTCATAAAGATGGAACTAATGTCATGCTATTGATATCAGTGATACGATCTAAGTTTGGAGGTGATTTTGAAATCGTTCAGTAAAGCACACTAACTATCAATCTAGGAACCGTATGAAATATCTCAATTTCGTCCCTAACGAAAATGATCTGTACTCATGTGCACGGGTTCTTGTACTGAACATTTGGAGTAAGTAACCGATTATTTGTAGTTGCGTGTAGTAATCAGTGTATGGATGAATTTGTGTTTCCGCTTCCCCAAATCTGTTTGATACGTAAAACAAAATAGGGCTATTTTTTTCCTTTTTCAATTTTATGCAATTTTTATATATAATAATGGGAAGGTATGAAATTTCTAATGTATATTTCAATGAAGTGAAAGCGATCTATCCGAGTAGATTTATAATTATGTATTATGTTTAGCTAAACTGGTTTATAGTTTTCTAAATACGGATTTTTCTGTCTTCATAAACAACACACATCGTTTCAATTTTCACTCGTTATTTCTTCGTTCCTAAGTTCATTTTATCTGTTTCCAGTGTTAGTTTATGCATAAACTATAAATGCTGTTGTTTTAACAAAGCAGAATTAATCTTTTAGGGATATAAGTTTTTACTTTTAATAAGTTGAGTTTGAATTTTTTAAATACGCAATTTATTATTGGGGCTTTTATTGTTCTACTTGGAAAGTAAAAACAAGCGAAATCTATCTGTTCATTCTTTTGATAATATTTATTGAGAAGAATTATTGTTGGAAGCATGAAGACGCACAGAAGATCTTTCTATAATAAGAACTGATATACGATACTCATCGAGAAGCAATTTTTAGGTCATAGTGAATTCTAAATTCGTCTACATATATATAGTTGCATTATTCTGAAACCTAATACAGTGACTTAATTTACTTCACACTACTACTACTACTACTACTACTACTACTACTACTACTACTACTACTACTACTACTACTACTACTACTACACTTAATTGTTTTAATATGCTACTTATTCTTATAAACTATCTTTGATGTCATATTGTTGTTGGAAACACGTGCGATTTCTGTTAATCTAAGTACCTAAGTCTGTAACCACTGCTGGAACATGTAATCACATATCTATCTCCAATTCCAGGCTCAATGTGTTCATTAGCCTCCCTCTTTTGCCTTGACGATTCAAATTTAGGAATTACCTTGTAATGCAATTTAATGATTTCCGCAAAATAAGTCCTATCGACCTGCAGCGTCTTTTGCTAATTCCCTCATCAACTGACAACTGGTTTTCTCTCTGCTGACAATCTATGGCCGGTAAATTTGGAGTATCTCATAATGGCAGCTGGTTTATAAATTATTTTCGTAATGGTTCTTTAGGTTTAAACATCGTACAATAATACTGGTTTAGCGTTGTTGAAAATTCTGACATCAGTCCGTTAGTGCTCTCTTGCTACTTTTGATTTGTTTGATCGCATTGCTGACTACTATTGTTAGTGGAGTATAATTTATAGGAAGATGTGTGTGTTCTACTTCCATATTCGGTAGCGCTAATGTATTGAAGAGTTCTTCAAAGTATTCTACCCTGGCATGTTGAAGTTATTGTTTCTCCAATCAGTTACCGATTGTTCTCCATAGTGCTTTCCTCTTCTTCTTGTAGGTTCCATAAGACTTGGAAATTATTTCTAGAAGCTATCATAAACTTACATCTTTAAAGAAGTCTATATTTACCTCCTGTAGTGTTGCTTGTCCAATGCTTCTCCATTTCAGTTCTAACTTGATCATCAGGCGATAATCGGAATTTATATCAGCTCCTCTGTTTGTTCTTACCTCTTTCATGGACCCTCAAAATATTTTTTGTTCCACGTTTGATCATTTTGCTTTCCCGTATTGTATTTTGGTGAAAGCTATAGGGTTTTGTGTATGTGTTTGTGGGTTAAACTGCTGCCTCCTTTGGCTATAATCTAGTTTAGTACGATCCTCGTTTCTCCCTCTCAGTTTTTGTAATACATTCATACCCCATGTCGTTCAACCCAACTTTGGCATTTAGGTTTCCTATCATGATGGTATGATGTTTTACTGGACATTTCTGTAGGTCTGTCCGCAGCCTCCCGGAGTTCATTTCCGTTAGTCCAGTATTCTTTTTCCAGTTAATATTAAATTGTTCAATTTTAAGATATCAATGCTTTATGCATACAGACTATCTGTATTGTGCAAAATATATACTTGATTCTTTTTTCTGTTTTTTTTAGCTTGAAAACTTTCAGTACAGCTAATCAGTAATTTTAAGACATTAAAGCGTCGAAAATATTCAAGGGTGGATTCGTGAAAATTTGTAGTTCCAATCTTTTAGCAAGTATTCAAATTATTCATTGAATTTACGCTCGTTTCAATTTTCGTTTGATTGTTTGTCAATGTGCACAACGGAATAATATTTTCTGTGTACTTCTATTGTATGTAATTATATTTATACGTATAAATTCATCAAAACAAAAGAATGGATCATCCAGAGCCGATTTCTAAACGTCCTATAGAAATTCCACAATGTCGTAAAGGTTTCAATTTAGATGAAGCAAAAAACTTTATCGATCAAATTATGGAAGTATTTCGTAGTTTAGATGATATGACAGATCTACGTTCAATGTATGAAACTGGTAAACAACTAAGTCGATCATATTTTGATTGTCATACGTATCGTTTAGAATTAGCTCAGTATTTAACTAATTGTGATTATCCTGCCTTTGCGTCGAAAATGATGAAAAAATTGAATAATATGGGTGTGTTCAAGAATGATGATATTTGGTTCTCTTCATTTTATTTCTATAATACAACATGGAATTTTTCTGATATTTGGCCGGAATTTGCCACTGCTTTAGCAATTGCTGGTCTACCAAATCTACTTAATTTAAATATTGGACATCAACCATATTTAGAGAATTTAAGTAGTAAAAATGTATATTATTTAATTAAAGCTAGTTTATCTATCATACATAATATAGCTCGTGTTCCAGGTAATACACATTATTTTGCATCTGAATCAGTTCGACAAGCTTTATTACATTTAGCTCAACGTGAAGAAGAATTTCTACGCTGTGTTTCCACACTTTGTTTAGCGCACATTATTACTGAGTCAGAAATTCATTTAATTACTGACATATCAAATGGTGGTATTGATTTGTTAAGAATTTTATTTGGCTATGTCACATCAGCTCGTGTTTCTGAGAAACGAAGATGTCATGGATTCCAAGTGCTTGAATTGTTATCCTCTGTTGCCGCTTTATCTGTTCTTGATCCCGTCAAGGCGAATTTATTGTCATCACCTGTTAATGTGAATTTGATTGCTGGTACAAATAATAATCAAAGCACAGAGCATAGTATGACATGTCTAAGTTTACTGAAAGAATTAATTGAAACTGCATTACTTCCTAATTCTAGTCCTGTTTCTGTTAGAGAAGCAGAAGAAGCAGTTCGTATCTTATGGAATACAGTTTTTGATTCATCCATTTGCACAGGAGTTTTACAGATACAATTAACAAGTTGGTTAAGTGACACTATGGCAAATCATGCAGTTGCTTTACAAACTTATAAATCTCTTTCACGTGCAATCGAATCTATTAATTGGCAATTGAACACTTGTATTTCGAAAAATTCTAAAAATGAACCTACAGAGTGTGGTCCTGTATTATTATGTTTCTCACCGTCTAACCGTATTGCTGTTAACCGAGTGGCTGATCGTTTAAGAGATGCTGGGATTATGCTTAACAGTATTCCTTTTGGTCCCGAAGTAATACCATCAGTAGATGCTTCAGCAACTGGACTTACTATGTGTGCGGCTAATGCTACAAATCATGCTCAGTGGGTTGAATCTATTGAACAGGCCTCAGTTATGATCGCATTTTTAAGTGATTCATTTCGCTTAAGTCCTGGTTGTCGATGGGAAGTGGAACATTTTTCTAGTTTTGATACAAACTTATACTCAAAACCTATTATTCCTGTTATACTACAACCAAAATTTAAGTTGACTGGCTGGCTGAATCGTCTCATTTCTCAACATCCTATTGATTTCAATGGTAAACGGGATCCAGAAGCAAGCTATGATGCTTTAATTAGCCAGGTAAAAGAATTTTATGGAGAGGCAAAGAAGCGTGCGGAGGCTGCTGCCTTAGTTGCAGCACAACATCAGTTATCCATTGATGCCAAAAAACACTTAACAACTTCAGGCGATACTGGATTCCCCGGGATACCCAATTCAGATGTAACGTTGAATCACGTCAATGCAAGCCCCGCAGTTAGTAGTCGGGGTTCTCTGGGTCCGTCTCCAGGCATTAAACGTGAAGATCCAATTCATCTAAGTAATCAGATAGGATTACAGAAGATTTGCAATCAAAACATGATTCCTGTGCAATCGAATATTACATCCCGACCTTTGGCGACTAATGCCTGGCGTCATGCTATTCGTCCTTCAGTTCGTAATTGGTCAACCTGCAAGGTTGCTTCATGGTTGAAATTTCGCGGATTGGGTCATGTACCTTCTCAAATAGCTGGTGGCATAGATGGTGTTTTATTGTCCCAGTTAGCTGGTTTACGCATTTGGGCTCCCGAATACTTCACTCACTGTTTACGATCTGAACTAGGTCTTGGTTTTGCTGATTCTCTACGCTTCTTAGAAGCGTTAGACGAGCTTGCTCCGGAGGATAGTGATGGCCATGATGTTGAAGATGTTGATGATTGTGTAGATGGACGTCCGCATTTGGGAAATCATGATGGGGCATCGTCTAGAGCATAGTAGTTTGTTTGTTTAATTGCAGACTACCTTGTCTGTTACAACACAACGTTGGAGTTGTAGTAAAGCTTTTTCAGTCTACCTGTATCAATGAACTATGCATTAATTGAATTTTTCCAGTTTAGCTGCTTTCATTGTTACAGTTACTTTAGACGTAATGAAACGGCTTAATTGACGCTATTTTATTTTTTAAATCTCACTTCACCTGTTCATAAATGTACCATTGTTATAATAGATATTTCAATAGCACTCACTGTTTTCTAAAAAAAAATAACATTTTTTTCAGAACTTAGCTCATTCAAGATCTGTTATTTTAAATTGTAGCTGAAGTAAACTTCAGATTAATTTCACTCAGTTAACATTTTGTTCCATTGTTGTATCCTTTTTTCACTCGAACATTCTGCTATCATTTTTTTCTCTCTGTTTTTTTTCTATTTCTCTGATCAGTTTGATTTTGATTTTATAGTAATGTAAAACTTGAACAGATTACACATTCATTCATGATATATTGTAGTCATTCCTTTTTATTGGTATGAAATGATCAATTTGTATTACATTTTCTGCTGTATTATTTACCATGTTTGTATTGTGTTGTTTGATTTTACTTTTTCCATTTTTGTCAAATATAATGTATGACTATATCATCAGTTAATAGATTTTTGCTCCGTTCACTTGTAATCTGGGACTTGTGTATAATTTTACTGTAAATTAATGAAATCTAATTATCATAATGTCATAAGTCTATGAGTACGGCTTTTCTATTAGTATATGGTCGCAAATTAGTGGATTTCTCTCTCATACACACATACATTATAATTGCATTTGATTAGTTGGAAAAAGCCAAGAGTAAATTTTTCCGTTTTTTTTCTCTATTCAATCTTCATTTCGTTTTTCTTTCATATGTGTATACTTTGTACTCGTTTGTAAAATGTGTTTATTATTACTATTTTTCCACGTTACATTGTACTGATGGTTTTTTGTATGGTTCGTTGACTTCTTTTCGATCATATATTGTTTTATTATTTATTATAATTAAATAACAATAGAATTGTTTAATTGTAGCTAGTTAATTGAAAATAACCAAACAACTTCCCCCTAATATTGTTAATGCTACTTATTATGGTAATAATACCCTACCTCTCTACGAATATATATACATATAACAGAAAAATCAAAATTAGTTGTAACTTCTTTGAAATTATTAATAATTACAAATTTTTAGACGTTAATAATAAGCAGTTTGATTATCGTATAAATTTCTAAATTATTATTGTACGATACAATTAAAAGAGAGAAAAAAAAGAAGGATGACAAATGAACTGATGGACAAGAATTAAATAGATACATCTTTATACTGAATGATAATTTTGAAAATTATTATACACTGTTATTCTTTTCTTTGAGAAAACATTGACAGATACCAGTTTCCTTATTATAATATGGATATTTTATGTGTATGTGTGTAGTATTTGTAGATTCATTCATTTTTTAAATAAATATATATATATATAGGACATTTTTCTCGGACCTTTTTCTCTGTTTCTCCAATGTATTAGAATTTGTCAATGATATTAACTGTAAAAGCATCAAACAATTGCAATATTATTATGTTGATGTGTTTTAGATGAACTAAATTCTTTTTATTAACAAACTATATATACATACAATGAAGAATGATATTTATTGTTAAAATATATTAAATTAGAAGGAAGACTTTATAGCAAATGAAGTGAATGCGTATTAATGTCAGTAGTAATGAATAATCGTTATCTAACATGTGTATGTGTCTATAGTTTTCCTTTAACATTCTTTTTGTTTTCAAAAAAATATAATACTATACCTTAAATTACAAAAGTCTTATGGATCTTTTGTGCTTGGCTGTCATAATCTTCCCAGTTTCTCTGTTCCAATTGTGTTTAAGTTTTTATCTTGTTATTCAATTTCAATATTTAGTGAAAAGAATTAACGGGTTAACTTTACTGTAGTCCAATAGTATATTATGCCACCGTGTATTAGGCATCGACAAATAATTTTAACTGTTCATTTTTTCCTGTTGTTGATATTCACTACTGAATTTGCATTAGCCGTTTTTGATGAATGTTCATTCTAAGCCAGTTTTGTTTGAAAGTTTCGGTGTTCAACACGATTTTCAGTTGAAATATTTTAGGCGTATTTACAAGCCGTTAGGGTATAAACTTTTGAATGTAGAATGTCATTACGCATTACGTTAGGACTTAGGTAAATCTTAAAAATGAAGTATTTTCACGGTTACGTAGATCAATAAAAATGTAATTTAGTAAATGGACATTGGAATACTGTTTTTATCTATGTAGTAAATCTCACGTAGTGTACTGTAGAACACTTGTCATTTACTGGAATAATATTAGTTCTCCCATCAATCCCACTCCTTATAACCTACCTGTATTTTCAGTCGCCAATTGCCCATATACCACCCACAAAATAGAACTTCGGAGCGTGTTCATTTCCCAATGGACAGTCGTATGTCTTACATGAGGCGCGGATTACAAAGAGCAGACCGAACCTTGTAAACCCATCTCGATATTTTTTCTGACTAACGTAGCGTAAAGGAAAATCAGTAAAGTAATCTACTTACTGTGTTACCTCTTGTTTTTCTGAAACTATATCATGTTTTTGACTAAGTAGTGATTTGATTTATTATTAAAATGCTCATTACATCAAATGTTACCCCTCTACAAACCTGCTTGTTCATGCCAATAAGTCTCCAGGACAACAGTAGGAAGATTAAAAGCGTCGCCGGAGAGCAGAATATTATGTTTATCTCATTCCATATGCTAAAGGCCACTATTCAATAATTATCCTGTGTTACACGTCATATTTTATGCATTGTGTAGAACGACTGAGTAGACCTAGATAACATATCAGTCAATTAACTGTAATCTGTGAACATAAAAGTACATCGTGACAAATTCTATGGGGGAAAAGTAGCCTACAATTTTGACTAATCCACTTGTTTATTTAATACACAGCAAAATATATAGACTAATTCTTGTAAAATAATTTTCACAATCCTACATTTTCCTTTCCTCTCCTTCTACCACATATTAAATGGATGGAAAAAATAAAGATTATTCGAAGACAGGATCATTGTGTACAAGATATCTGTTTACTTCCTAAAAAATTATACTGTGCATAAATAATTTAGCTGTTTGTCTGATATCTGTAAGATTATTCTGAACAAGGTAGATGGACCATGAAAAGCAATCTTTCAATTTCTAGAAGTTTATTTCTATTACAGAAATATCAAATAGTAGAGCTTGACATGTAATTGTAAAAAAACTATTCACTACACAGAAATACATGTTCAGTCGGTATGCAAATACAATGGAAACGTTGATTGATCAATATACTCAATATGATCATTTATATTATGAATTAAAATCTAACGTAGAGTAGTTTCTAACTGGTCAATAAATCAAAACATTGCTTTTGAGTTTAACCGTTTCCTGAAATTGGATACCGTGAATTAATGATCATTCGTTTAATATTTCTCATCAAATGATTCTATTTAATAAAATTGACAATAATTTAGGTCAATTAATGCTAAGATAAAAATCAAATTCTATCACTATCATAATAGCCTTGAAACGAAAAATCCTGGAGCTAAAATTTCCAGATGAAAAGATAAACGGATCATCCGTATATCCGTGGTCATAGAATGAATAGGATTGTCAAATGGGAAGAATAAATTATTTTAAGAAATCAGAGTCCCTGCTATTTTTAATTAAATGTTGACCCAGTAGATAAAAACAGTATACTGGAAATATAGTTAAGATAATTATTGTCAGCTTCATCTTAAGGCGAAATATCTAGTTAATTCATAGAGCCGGAGATTATAAACAATATTATGTGCTGATTTTTTTCTACACACAGAAATAAAGCGACATAAACTTGTTAGCTTTATAGCTGGAAGTAAACAGATCTTCATCACTTATAACAGAATATCTTTCTAATTACAAACTTGGTAGATTTACTGTCCTATGTTTTATTGAATGGGTGATGTTACGTATGAATTGTTATAAACTTAAGTCACATCCTACCCATACTGTAAGTTATTCTTGCTGAATGATCCTACTTATTAAACTATAAACTTACTGTCCTCCTTCATTACGTAGAAGTAACTATGAAGAAACTGAAAATACTTTGAATTTAGACGATTTCGGATGACAAATCTAATTGTATGTGTTTTTTAAATATAGCCTCAAGGGACATAATTTTTAAGGACAGTTAATGCTTTTTGTATTTCAGTCAAACTGTTCGCCTGAAGATATAGAATTCTGCAAACAACAAATTTTTATTTACGATAAACTGGAATCCTTTTGTTTATTAAATAGGAAAAGGATACGAGAAATATGATGACCTATAATCATCTGAATATAATGAAGTGAACTTAAAGCATGACAGAAACAATATTATGTCAGGGTTCGTTTACTAAGAGTAACCGTCATCGGATATGAATGAAAGTAGTTTTTAGTGGATTATCTTCAAGATAATTCTTAAGCTTTCGTATATCAATAGCCTTGATGACCATTATTAAATAAATCCCAACGGTTTATAAATTTCGAAAGCAATACGAAGCGCCAACTACAGTATATTATTGAATAGCACAAATCACTAAGCCACAAGCACATCAAGTGAATTCAAGCAGAAATACTAATGCAAGTGAATATAGAGGCGAGTGAAGAGTCGTATCAATTAGTAGGGTTCAAGCACATAGATATAGGAAAGTGAATGATTTATTGAATAATTTAAGCTAGAAAGAGGGATATGTACCAAGGCTACCGAATATGACATAGTATACATGTTCATACAGACATGATAGTAATACTAATCTATACAAATTGTCACTGTTCACTTAACACTGTCTGTTAAAAAAAATAAATGAAGGGATCAACAAAAGTAAACGTAAACAAACGTAAGTGTAGAAGAGGTGTTATGAGTTGAATGCTCAGTTAATGTTTCATACATAAAGGGAACGGTAGAGATAAGTATAAAAGTAGGATTATGCTGAGAGTTAGAGTTCATAATATGTAACAGGTGTAATCAGTATAACGATAAGGGGTTGTAAATCAAAGTAAACAAAGAGAATTAACCTACGCGCTCGTTTCAAAAAGGGAAGTGATTTTTGTACTTGTTGTGATTATACTTTTTTTTTGGTTCTAATTGCACCAAAAGCATTCTTGGTCTACTTTAACTAAAAGTACTTTGGTTAAAGTTTGAAAATTTTTTGCTAAATTTTGTCCTAGGTACCTTTTTTACTCCTAGACTAACACTTGTGTTCACATTGTGATCATTGTGTGTTTTTAAACCTTTTAAATCTAATTACAATGGTTGGTAAGACTCACAAATGTGGGCAACCAAATTGTTTGTTCCCCGTTGAGGAGGGAATGCAGTGTGATGACTGTAAAAAGTGGTACCACAAAATGTGTACACGCCTAAGTCCGATGGCATACAAAAGATGCTCGAAGCCTAACTCGCATTGGCTTTGTATGTTCTGCTGTATGGATAAAAAGGTACTAATTCAGGAAGCTATGAGCCTATTAGGTTTGGCCTGCAAGAAAAACGATGACACATGCGCTGACAACCCGGGCACTGACAGTGACGATTGTGTCAGTGTAGTACCTGAGGTTACGCGACGCCTCAAACAACCGACTCTGACTGACGCAAAAGTGAGATCGCCGTTAACATTAACAAGGGGAGTGATACCACCTGATACTGACAGTGATAACAATGCACCTTTAGTGGGAACCGACGAACTGGATAAAACCATCGCGGTTTCAAATAGTCCAATGTCCTGAGGGATGAAAAATGGACTACGGTATGTAGGAAACGAAACGAAAGAAAAAAAGCTGTAGGCAGCACACAGGTAGTTAGTAACTCACTGATGAACTCTCATTGTGAGTCACATACTGCACTACCAAAATCTGATGGTAAGAGTGAAACCCATCCTGGCGTGACTGAGAAGAAAAATCAAATAACAACTAAAACTAATGACTGTTTACTTGATAAGCCCTTGGTGGGATCTCAGACTGTTCTCCGTTCATTGCAGGCTATATCTGTATTAGAAGTGATAGAGTTTCAATTCGCAAAGGGGGAGGTATAATATTATATGTTAGGGATCACTTTCGTATACAATCAACCATATCGGAGGCTCATATCAGTGGCACATGTGAGGTTGCGTGTTTTAAGATTAAATCTAGAAGTGGGTTATTGACTATAGGGGGAATATACCGTAGTCCGTCTTGTCTTGCTGACGACTTTATCCTAAGACACATCTGTTCTTGGAGTATGACAGAATGTTGTCTCATCATTGGGGACTTCAACGCACCGAATATCAACTGGATAGAGCTTACAGCTTCAGGTAGTGGTTTCGATAGCGACCTTTTATCTACCGTTATTCAGTGTGCACTTGTACAATGTATCACAAAACCGACACATATTGATTTCAATCATGATCCGTCACTGCTGGACCTCGCCCTCACCCACCACTGCGAGGATGTCTTTGATATTCAGCACCTTCCCCCATTAGTGAACAGTGATCACGTTGTAATTCACTTTAAGTTTAGGACACATGGTATACAATTCGTATCTGTTCCACCCCGTCCCAATATCTGGCGACCTAATATTCCGGCGATCAGAAACTGTGCTATCTCGACTGATTGGTCAGTCGATGCGGATGGATTGGTCGAAGATGAATGGAATAAGTTTAAGGCTACATTCGAGTCCGTAACGTCGCCGTTTATTCCATGGTCAGCACGTAAGCTATCACACTGCCCTCCATGGATTAATAAGGAAACCCGGAAGCTGTTAAAGTGTAGGAAACATTTCTGGGACTTATTCTTGTTGACAGGTCATGAACCATTTAAGCGTGAGTACCAAAAATTCCGCAATATCTATAAGAAAACCATAGCCAAATCCCGTACCACTTACGAACGACAGTTAGTATATGATAGCCGTACTTGTCCAAAACTATTGTTTTTGTATGTTAAACGGCGGACGAAACGTAGTGATGGTATTCCCCCGTTACTGTCACACGAAAATTTAGAATTACTAGCTGAATCAGATCGAGCAAAAGCTGAGACTTTTTCAAACTATTTTAGCGAAGTC